TGCAATTGCTTGAAATAAAACTTGTCTCTGACTTACTGCGTCCAAACAGAGAGAGAGGATTTGATTTCTTCCACAATTCCATTACTGCCGTGTTCTCCTTCACAGCTGTCTAGCCTAGAAACTTTGAGGTGCACAAAGCCCTTTGCACAGCAACTTCCCTGTACAAGCTGCTGACACAAAAGGCGTGATTCTCCATTGCCCTGCACCTTGTGAATTTACACCAGTGCAAACTGAGTGGAAAATGTTCCCAGCTCAGAATGGTTTTTCACTGAGTTTAGCGCACTCACTTGGGACCCTACGGTGCTGCCTTCCTGCCCTGTACTGGCCACTTGCATCATCAGGCTGTGTGCAGAAGGAACAGCGAGGGGAGGGGGGAGCAGGCTAAGGCCGCTGTTCCTTGTCCCTGCACTGGCCAGTGCAGTGGAGCAGGTGTGGAGGTGGAAGGGAGCTTGACAAGGAGAAGGGCTAGTGCAGTGTATTTGCCCCACGGAGCAGAGGGGAAGCTGGGCCCAATCTCAGATGCTCCAGGGCCCTATGATGCCCCAGCTGTGCTCCTGGGCCAGTGTGGAGCTGCACGGCTCCTCACTCAGGCTGAGTCACATGGTGTCAGTTAGGGCTGTTCAAAATGTTTTCATTGGCGCTTCTCAGTGGCCATTGATCACTACCCCTTGAGCCCGACGATCTAGCCAGCTTTCTATCCACCTTATAGTCCATTTATCCAGCCCATACTTCTTTAACTTGCTGGCAAGAATACTGTGGGAGACTGTATCAAAAGCTTTGCTAAAGTCATCCACTGCTTTTCCCCCTCTAAACTAAACTCTGGAGAGCTTAAAAGGACAGAGCTTTGCTGCACGAAGCTGTCCAAAGGCAGAGCGGGCCAGGAGCTGGGAGAGGGTCCCGGCTCTCTTGCAGGGCATGCTGGTGCCCCAGGAGACACAGGCCATAATGGACCTGCAGGGATGGCAAGGCTGCAATGAGGTGCCAGAGGGAGGTGGCAGGAGGATGTCAGGAGCATATGCAGTGACCAGAGCAGTGACCAAGCCCCATCCAGTCACAGCGCCCCACGTCTGCAGTGGGAAAAACTGCAGCTAAGGAAAGCGAAGTCGGAGTGGCAGAGGCTGAGTGATTATGCGTGGGAGAGCGCAGAGCGGGACTGGCCCCAACAGCATGAGGAGAAGCCGCTTTCTGGGTGTGCTAGAGAACACCAGCCCAAGGTGGCACAGCACCAAAGCAAGACTGACAGACAAAGCAGGAGCTGGCCCTTGAGCATTTGAGGAGCCAGAGATCTGGGGAATCGATAAGCAGGGGCAGGGCATGTCATGCTAACTTCGCCGTCAGCAGAGATGCTCAGCTGTTGCCCAGTTTAAGGAGGGGGACATATTGCTGCCTATCTCCCCGCCTTTGAAAAGCCTTGTGACTTGAATCGGGTTCCCTCCATTTTCTCCCCCCTTACTGGGGCAAAGCTGTAGACGCCTACAGCCACATGGGTGGCTCAGACTGCAGGGATTATGAGCAACTTCAAGTGGCATTGCTGCTTAAATCTGAACTGACTCCAGAGGCTGATAGGACAAGGCTTCAGGGCATTCAAAAGAATAAGGGGATGACTTCTATGGAGGTGGTGAGTCAGCTGGGGGATTATCTCCACAAATGGGGCAAAGGGAGGGGAGTCTCTCCCCTAGCCGAGCCGTCACACCCTTAGCGCTGAAAGCTCCGGCATTACTACAACCAGCCGGGGTGGAAGATGCAACAGACAAAAAGGAAGAGCCATGCAAAGGCCAAGGCCTGCTACAATTGACATGGAGTTCTCTACAGCTTGGCTGGTGACCTGCTCTGGCGTGACCAGACTGGGCTATGCTGGCTACTAAACCCGACTGTGTCTGGAAAACGCAGCGCGGGTGTCACTGAAAATACTGGCTGAGGTGCACTAGTCCCTGACGTGTGAAGTGTATACGAGTCTCCACCAGGAGCCTGTCTCCATTGGATGTGCTGGGTGGAGCTCACAGTGTGAAGCCGGAGTGCTGGAGCCTAGGAGTGTGGCCTGCCCTGAAGGATGAGTTGGGCTCCTCAGCAGGCTGCCACATGGCAGGGGTTCCTCCAAGACATTATTGAAAAGCTGGGGCATGGCACCGATCCTGTGACATCGGTACAGTGTATCCATTTGGGTTCAAGGTATAAGCTATACCAGCACAAGTGGTCTTGCCAGTGTAAGCTCTGTCTGCATGAGGAGAGTTTGCCCATCATCTTCTTTCATATGTGATAGTGGAACAGTGAAAGCAATGGAGTGGCTCCAGTTGGATCTTAAGGTCTCTTATCCAGTCCAGAGCAGAGGGGGTAGCCATGTGAATGGCTCCGACACTTCCAGGGTGAACATGGATTGGCCAGTTGTCTGTGATGTGTCCGACAGTTTGCACCATGCCACAGTCGCCATTCGGCAATTCCCTCACTTTCCCTCTATGGAGTAAGCATGCACAGGTTAGAGCTGTCTGTACGTGCCGGGGGAGGAAAGACGTGCACAGTTGGGTCATTGATTAGATTTTTGTTTGGTGCATTGGCAGCTGTTCAGACTTCAGACCATCTTCTGTGAACATCCTTCTCTTCCACAAGGAGGGTTGGGCCACAAGACCAGATGGGTTTTCTTGATTTGGGTCGGTGGCAAGGAGGCCGTTCTCGGTCAGGGTGGGCTGGTCGTGTGGGATTTGCCAGGATCTCTATGTACTCCCTATAGCTGTCGCAGCATCTTGTCAGATATTTGCCGGCGCAATGTTAGCCAGCACTGATAGCCATGAAAGTGGCGTGGATGTGAGGGTTTGCCACTTCCATGGCTATCAGTGGATGGACCAATGTAGCTAAACTGGCAAAGCCCTCCTAGTTAGACTGAGCCTCAGAAAGAACAGAGTTTGACTTTCAGCTCCAGGGAGAGTTTGCAGGGCAGGCAGTTGGAAAAGCAGCCCTGTGATGGATGTGGAGACACCGAGAGACAAGGCCCACACAGGGCCCATGATGCCATTTTTATAGCGTCCCTTTTCAGACCGTAAGTCTGCTGTAAGGTCAGGTGGTGATGCTCCAGCAGCAACCACAGCTCAGCCCTCCCCCACACGTCACAGGAGGGCTTTGCATTGCTCAGTCTCACAGACACACTCCACGGTCGTTGCTGTAATTAGATCCGGAAGAATGATTCCATTTGTATAAATCATTTTTGTCTGTTCATGTCCTGATCCTGGTCTCTGGGAGCCTCTTCGTTACTCATAAGTATTCACCAAGTCTTTCCTGTGGACAACTGTAGCCCCCATTCACTCCAGCAAGTTCCTCTTCATTATTTGTAGCATGTGGCCAGCCACTAAGTCCTGTGTCTGCTCTCTGACTGGACTACAGACACTTCTTAAGCAGGAGAGTAATTAGCAACACCGTCCCACTCACACTAGGGCTAAAGTTCATGAGACTCTGACTTTTGGTGAGTACCAAAGACAATTGAGGTCATTGCTGATAATCGGCCAAGCACAAGCTCCCAGTGCAGCATTGTGACAAAAGGCGCTGACGTGACCCTGGGATGTATAAAAGGGAAATCAAGCAGCAGCAGGGAGTTGGGGGTTAGCTCTGTATTGGGCACTAGCGAGACCATTACTGAAATGGCATCCACACAGCCAGAGGATATTGATAAATTGGAGCAGGTTCACAGAAGAACCACAAGAATGAATGCCCGATAGTGAGAGAGATTGAAGGGGCTCAATCTATTTAGCTTAACAACGGGACGACTAAGATGCGCTTTGGTTGGGATCTACAAGTGCCTATGTGGGGAGGAAATTTCTGAAAGTAGACAACTCTCTAATCTCCCAGCAAAGGCAGAATTGAGCCAATAGCTGGACGCTGATTCTGGACAAATGCAAACTGGAAATAAGTGTTTCACAGTGAGGGGAATTAGTCACTGGAACAGCTTACCCAGCAATGCAGCTAAGGCTCCATCTCCGGAAACCTTTACCTCGAGATCAGGTGTCCCTGTGTGAAAGCTCCGCTCTGGCTCATCCACAAGTGCTGGGCTGGAGGCAGGAATCAGTGTGGGGGGAGGGGAGATGTCTCTGGCCTGGGCTATGCAGAGGGTCAGACTGGATGGTCTGGATGGACCCTTCGGGCCTTGTCAGCTCGGAATCAACAGGAGTGCACTGAACTCACCGCAGACATCTATCAGCCAGGCTGTGATGCCTTCTGTGCATTGTTTGGCTGTGTCACGATGGGCCCAAACCAACCCCACAACTGGGCAGCCCTGGGCGATGGGGAAGGAAGCTTCTGACAGGCCCTTGTCTGTTCACGGGCCACGCTGGAGTTGTGCGGTCCAGCAGCCCCACGCTTTGGGCACTTTCAAGTTTGGGGTCAGCCCTGAAGGTGCTAAGCCACAGAGATGAGGTGAGGCGGCTCTGCCTCTGGAGCTGAGGTGGGGTGCTGATGGCTCTGCTCGCTGGGGGCAGGCAGGCGCCCAGAGGAGAGGGCTTTGCTTGTTGGGAGTCTGCATTCTGGGTGGGCGGATGGCTGGGTGGGGAGGAGCTTGGAGGAGCTGGGAAGATAGATGGCTTTGCACAGGAGCTAACTGGGTACAAATCTCTTTCATTTAATTATCTTTGTTAAATCTTTCTGAGTGAATAAAAAGTCCCAGAAAACAAGGGAAAAGGGAAAATGGGCCGGAGAGAAACTGGGTTGAGCCATAAGAACAAAAGGAGCCCCCATGATTTTCAGCAGTGGAATGATGAAATAATTGCAGCCAGTGCAATAATTGTAATTGTAACCATTTAAAGTGCCTGTCTCCTTGTGACAAATGAACATGTCGCAGGCCCCCTCCAAGCTGCCCCGTCTCACACCAGTTTGACAAAGGAGCAGCCGACAAGCGGTTAAATCTATCAGGGGACGGTCAATTTTGTTTGAAAACAGCCTTTTCTAAAGCAGGAGGCATTCCTTTATGGAGCCAGTCTCGCTGGGCCGGCTGAGAGTGCAGGCACGGCAGAGAAAGGGGTTAAAGGCAGAGATGGCTGGTGCTGAGAAGGAACCACAAAGACGCTGTTTGCCTTTTCTCCACTGATCAGTTAATTTAGTTCTTCACAATATTGCGCCCAACTCCTGGTGGTGCTGCCCCCCCTCGCTGTTCTGATGTCACAGATGGTGCGGAGAAAGCAGCCCCCGTGGTGCCACGCAGCCCCCTCACAGCATGGGGCCTACATGCCTTCCTCCCCCATTGTCCACCACTTCAAAAAGAAGAAGGGGGGAAAAAAGGAGGAAAAAAAGTACAAAAGCAGCTGAAAAACATGCTTCATAACAAATTCCCAATACCTTCCCCAGCGGAGGGGCTGGAGCCAGGCAGAGGGGAGAGCCGCGCAGGCAGGGCGGGGGCAGGAGCCTCGCCTTTGGATCCTTTGACTGGAAAGAATTTCTTGTGGGAAGTTGCTTCTCGGAGCCAGGATCTGGCTGGGAGCGTTTCTCCTCGAGATGCTCTCGGCACTCCTCCTGCTGGGCTTGGCTTCCCTCCCCTGGGGCTGGGGCTCCCAGGTGTGCCCGTGTCCCTGCACCTGGCCAGAGGGACAGGGCAGGAGGGGCCTGCAGGGGCCCAACAGGCAGACAAGGCAGCTCCAGCACCACCAGCCCGGGCACCGGCACCGGCTGCGAGGTAAGCGCCTTTCACCAGACTCCTGAGTCCCACAGCCGCCTTGGCTCGAGGCAGGCAAGCCGCGGAGCAGCACGCCCCACCAACACCTGGCTGCCCCAAGGGGCTGTTGTCACCGCAGCGCCTGTGGGGAGAGCCGCCAGGCTGAGGGATGGTTCTTTTACTTCCTCTCACCTCTGGGGAATCATTCGGCTGAGAGGATGCTGCACCCCAGGGATTTAGAGGCTGGTGAAAGAGACTCCAAATATTTACCTCCTTGTAAAAGCTTGTCTCCGCCGGTATGTGCAAGCAATGGCTGAAGGGACAGAAAGGGAGGTCTGGATGATCGGCGTGGGTCGGAGCAATGATTGGGGTTGATATAGTAATGGGGGTGAGGACTGGTGATGGGGGTAGGAGTAGTGACTGCACTGGGAGATCTGGTGTGGTGGTGCTGATTCTCCAAGCGCAGGGAGGAAAGCTGCTCGTTTGTTATTATTATTTATTCTTTGTTAGATACCAGTGCTCAGAGCCATTCATGGCAAACAGACAGTCCCTGCCCCAAAGAACTTACAAGCTGGGAGACAGGATGTACTGGGAAATCCAGGGGAAGAAATAACTCGGAGAGGGAGGAACTCAAAACTGGTGGGCACCACAGAGGTGTTTTGAGGGGGATTTGATCATATTTGTCCTTGAATCTATGTTGACCCCATCGGTGTTCCCACTGCCGCCACCTCCAATCCTCATAGATACTGCATCTCTTTCCCTTGTTTCCTAGTAGCTCTTCAGTTAAAAGCCAAGTAGGTGAATCAATGCACTGTTTCTCAGCAAAGTTTCAAGAGCCTGACACTTCCCAGTAAAATGGTGATCAAACTAATGACTGGGGTCTGGGGGACAACTGGAGAAGAGAGGTGTAATTACCATGCCATGTTAGAAGAGACCGAGGCGGTCAGACAGGAGGAAGTGTTTCCCATTTGTACTGACCAATCACTAACCAGTTGCCTAGGTTAGTCTCTATCCTGAAAGTCAGTGACCAGCCAGGACCTTCTCTTTATTCTTCATGGCTTTCAAAGCTGATCCCCCAAAGCTCAGATCACCTGATTTCAGAGCTGTACTTGTGACCCAAGCCCCAAGAACTTCCAGGGGGCTCACACAGATCCTTTATATCAGGGGTTCTCAAGCTGGGGGTTGTGACCCCTCAGGGGTCACAAGGTTATTACATGGGGGACGTGAGCTGTCAGCCTCTATCCCACTCCCTGCTTCGCCTCCGGCATTTACAGTAGTGTTAAATATAAAAAATGTGTTTTCAATTTATAAGGGGAGGGTCACACTCAGAGGCTTGCGGTGCAAAAGGGGTCACCAATACAAAAGTTTGAGACTACTACTTTACGTCCTCAGAAACTCACAGCAGGAGAAAACACTGCTATTGGACAGAACGCGGGAACGTTTTCCTCTGGGACATGTGCACAAATGCTGCCACCCAGCTTGGCTTTCACACAGATGGTGTAAGCAGGGTGAATCAGCCAACCCCACGAGCACCCTGGCATAATTTCTTTTTTCTGCAGACTGGAAAAGCTGACTTCTGCCAATCCAAAGCCTGTGTCTGAGTCACATTGCAGGTGTAATGCAACAGCACAGCACTGTTTGCCTTGCTGCATGTCTGAGGTACTCCTTAGACCATTTCTCAGCTATCTATTCCTGTGGCCTCTAAATATCAACGCTCCAGGCTGTGGCTGCCTGGCCCTCCTTGCCCTGCATTGCCCGGTATGTGACATCAGAGGATGATCATAGATGACTGGCAGGAGAGCAGGGGGCACCAGTTCTTGTCCACTGTGGTAGTGGGCTTCCTTCCTTTAGGGATAGGGTTTGGCAAAGGAAAGGAACTAGCCCTGCCCCAGGAGGTGACCTGGCCACCCACACTGGTGGTTTGGAGACTCCAGCTCTGCTCATGGACATTCCTAGCACCAGGTTTAAAGCCAGAGACTGCACATGTTTGGTTTGAGATCTGGAACCTGTCATGTACACCTTGTACACAGTAGGTTGCAGGGCTACAATAGCAGGTACAGACTGACTACAGAGCTCCCTTCCCAGAGAGATGCTCACCAGACATATTCACTGGAGATTCGCTTACTAAGTTTTTTACGCACTGCATCACCTAGTGGCTGAACCATGTAATACCGTCTAGCATTCTGCTAGGAATGGCAGCTGCCTCCTCCAGAATCACTTTGGTTCATTGTGCATGAAGATCAAGAGTCTTAAATGCAGAATGGGCTTCCCTGACTCCAGCAGCTCTGCCACGTTAGTCTGCAGCTGGATCACAGACAGCTATTCCCCTGCTCCCCATTCCTGGAGCCTGCTGCCCCGCCCTGCAGGCTCCGAGTAGACCAAAAGCAGCGGATGTTTGTCATGTCCTGCATGCGGAGACGCAGGCCCTTGCAGTGGGAACATGATCACAGAGGGTGGCTTAACGCTTAGAGCTCTTGTAACACTTTGCAACTGATTGTGGATGAATCCTGAAGTGAAACCCTTTCCAAGCCCTGCACATGGGAGGAAGGACGACTCATGTGAGTCCAGGATTACAGGATCCCTACATCGTTCTGGTTGTGTAAGAAAGTTAATGAACTTACTGTGTTTATAAATACTGACTGTGACACTGCAGCCCATATTCTTCACAGTTGTATGATTATGATGTAATTATGACATTATTGTGATGCATTTTGTACAAGACGGGTCATGTGAGGTGTCATTGGAAAAGTTATGATTTGCTAAATATGGTTATCCTATTTGTATGCATGTATCCCTTTTGTATCTGAAGTTATGAATACTGACTATGTATCTGTATTCCAAACGTGCCTACTCTGAGTAACACCCACAGCTAGCCTTTCAGGTACAACAATGAAGAAGCTAGACAGGGCTGATGGCCCATCAGCAAAGACAATGGGCTATGAAAGGACTTAGCCTTCCTGTAAATGTTTCAGCTGCCCTGTAAGTAATGGCTGCTATGACTCAGCAAGGGTATGTGACCAGACCACATGACACTGAACTCCATTTTGGGTACCTGTATTTTTCCACAAACTGGGCTGGGAACTGAATTTGGAACAAAGGGTTCCCGCCATATAGTAAAGCTATATTAGGTGGGGTGTGACATCACCTGGGGACCTCACTCCCCACACAAGAACACTCCTGGAAACATCTGAGAAACAAAGACTGAACTGGGGGAAGTGCTGGTCCCAGGCTAAACGGATGTCTAGCCTGTGTATGGAAACCTGGTGGACTGCTTGTGTCATCAGCCAGGGTGAGAATTTGCTAATTCATATCCAGTCTTTCTGGTATCTTAGGCTTAGTTTGTAGTTTTGTTTATTTGCTAGATAATCTGCTTTGATCTGTTTGCTATCCCTTATAATCACTTAAAATCTATATTTTTTTAGTTAATAAACTTGGGGATTTTTTGCTTTATCTAAACCAGTGTGTTTTTGAGTGAAGTGTCTGGGGGGAAATCTCAGTGTGGTTAACACAAGTGTGCATATTCCTCTCCACATTGAGGGAGGGGAAAACTGAGTAATAAATTCATACTGGTCGGGGTTTTGACCAGGGCAGGATGATAGAGCTCTGGGGTACAAGGCTGGGAAGCTGGGGGTATCTTGGCTGTAGCCTCTCTATTGTTGGTTCATTCAGTGACTGGTCAGAACCTGCATGTAACTGCAGCTGGGTGTGTCCCTGCCTGAGTGAATGCTGGTGGGAGTGTAGGACCCAGAGTGGTCTGCAGATTGTCACAACAGTACAGTGCTGAGAGGGAGCCCAGGCTGGTGAGTCAGTGGGCTCAGTGGTACCCCAGTTCCAGGTGGCACCCCAGGAGGAACCCATCACACCAACTTCTTCTCACCTGCCCCATATTTCCTAGATAAGAAACTCCTCTCTAAGAATTTAAGTTGCACCTGCCTTATTTTCTATATTATGCATCAGTGTAACTGGCTGAGATTAAATAGCATCTTTATTGTTATCACCGATAGCTGGGAGATGTGTGCTTTGTACTCGTGGCTGATTTTTGTAACTAAGGAGAGGCTGCACAGAGTCAGGTCTGTTCATGCAGTGAGTGCCTGCCATTGGAATAATCCTCTCTGTCTGTATGTAAAGGTATGGGGAGCCTGGCTGGCTGACGACAAAAGGAAAGACTCTGCTCTGTGTGTGAAACGCTGTCAGCTTTTCTTTTTTCAGAGTTCTTTTGTGACTTGTTGGCTTGCAGCTGGAGCAGCACTTGGTTGTTTGGGGCTGGGTGTGCTGAGAACATGTCCTTATGGGGTATTCCTCCAGCAGGATTTCTGACTGTGTGTGCGTTAGAGAGACTTTAGCAACTGGGCCTCTAGGGCATCGCTGAGTGACAGTCGACACAGAGTCAAGTTTCAGAGGGGGTGAATTTACTGACTCATTGTCTATGCAAGAGGACAGAGTCCTTCACAGCAGGATCCTCAAAAGGAGTTGTGGGACTTAGGGGCACAGGTCTCCATGACTCTCAGTGGGACTTGGGCTCCGGATGCCATCTGGCACCCACACCTGGGAACTGGGTTCTTTAGTATTTATTCCTATGACTACTGGTCAGGTGTGAGTTCTTACCTCTGACCACGTGCTCAGCCCTGGAGAAGACACGAATGAAGCCAGTCCCTCCCTAAGGAGCTCACATCTCACAGTGATCATGTTTGCATACTCCGATGGATGGCAGTGGGACAGGGCATTGCTTATTTAAGGGTACGATCTTCCTGAACAAGAGTAAAGGCTTAGGAGAGAGGCCCTGCAGGAAAGCTCCCGCTCTGGTAGGATCACTGTTATTCATATAGCTGCACACGCACATGACGAAATCGTGTCCCTGTCCCAGACAGCTCAAAATCCAAGAGGATTATGAAGTTCAGTGTCTCTATCTTATCAAAGTGACGGGGAAGAGGTAACTTGATAACAATCACAATCCCCTATGCAGGAGGGATATTTCTGCTGGTAAAGAGCTCTTCCCTCTGGGAGATCAAGGCAGAAAAGAT